CCAAAGATTCCTCAAGAGGATTAGTAATAAGATTCCGTAAAGATCCGTCACAGTGGGTCTAACGACTTTGATTGCTCTTGTTGCGGGTAGATGGCGCCATAACAGCTGTGCGAAGTTTGTGGGGTTTTTTTCTTAATTCAGCCAAGGTCACCAATGTGGAAGTGTTTATTCGAGAACAGAACCCGCGACGCCGAGATTCGTAGTCGCGAAACATTACTAAAGAAAAGTGATCACCTTTGTCCGGAGGCAACTACTGGCTTAGAAAGATACCACCTCACTGATAAAGTTCTTAAAATGTTATTAAGAAGTAAAAAAAAGGTAATCTTCAGTTTTAAATTATTAGAATAATTAAAATTGAAAAGGTAAAATATATGAGACTCATAATTAATCGAAGTTCGGAACTAAATATTAGGTCCAAAGTGATTTAATTCTTAATAAAATCCGATTGAAGGCACAATACTTTTGGGTGATATTTCTGTTTAGAAAGCAACAGTACAATTTGTAGTATCAATTGCTAATATCGACAGCATCCGAAAACACTGTGAGTTCAAGTCATGATAAAGGTAACCACGTGTTCGCTACTTAAATCAAAACTGGCAAACTAACTTGTACTTGTTTTTCTATTTGTAAAATTTAGATAAAATTTCAAATTTCGTAATTGATTAAAGGTTCTCAAATATAGTAAAAAAATCATCAAAAAGATTTTTAAATTATAAAAAAGTTCTTATTTTATTTGTGTACTTTTAAATTAAATATATTTACCTACTTATGTGTACGTTATTATTAACAAATATATGCCTTTTGAAAGAAAGTTTCTACAAAGAGCAAAAGTTGGCAACAACGAAGTTCATGAACTGATTGGCTGGAAACACATGATTACACTTATCGGATAAGTATGATGTCATATGAATTTGTGAACTAATTGGCTAGAAACAGGTGTTTGTCATTATCATCTGACTACGACGTCAGATGAATTTAGCCCAATTCATACTAAATTAGGAAATGTACGTAGTTTATTTCAGTTATATTTGCATGTATAGATAACCAACACTAGGAACTGAAGTCTCGATAGAAGTATAAACAACGGAAAATAACAAAATTACTTAGAAAATGTGAAAAAGTCAATACAATATAAAAAAATCACAAAACAAAATCTTTATATTAAACTTTCTATGCCGTGATTCGTGGTACTCTTGGCATTTTAGCTTGAAGACGAAAATCACAACAGTTCTTCAGAAGAACAGATAAATATCATTTCACAGGCTTATTGAAGACATTTATGTGTTGTTATGATAAATGCATGAAATATAATACGATCAAATTCATGTTTGATTATATAATAGATACCGTAGTATAGAAATAGTTTACTTTCATAGATATCATGAAAAATAATATTTTTTTACTATGAAACAAATAATACAATCAATATTACACCACCAGCTAACTCATTTTTAGCAAAATTTCTAAAGATAATACAGCACAAACAACGAAAAATATCCACAAGTTAAAATATTTAGAGTGCTTCTGCTGATATTTTATGAAAACAGGTAAAAAAAAAGTGAAATAATTTGTTTACGAGAATTAACTTTAACTATCTTCTCATAATAATTAGTCTTTACTTTAAAAAATATTTGATTTGAATAGAAAATTGATATTTAGCTCCCAAGATATCATCTTTCTTTACACACTTCTTTTTCTCAATAAGATTCTTGAATGTTTTATAAGGCATTGTCCTGTATATTCTTCAAAAATTAAAAAGAATATGCTCCGTTTCTGTAATAATGTAATTTTCAAATTAACTTTGTTTTAACTCACTAATTTATAACAATTTAAAGGAAATTCGATGCATATTTAATAAGAAGTGGTTGTTTTAAAGGCATTTCACACAGAAACGAAATGATCAAAAAGTAATAATTAACACCGTATGCATTTTATAAAATATATAAAATAAACTTAATGCTTATATTACTTTACATTTCTATTATTATTGGTCTTTTATATTATAAGCCCACCTAATTTAACTAAAATTGAGCATGCACAAACAGGGAATCAGTTTTTCTAACTATATTAAACAAAAAGAAAATATCTATTAAAAAATAATTTTCATTATTTTCAAACGCCCCATAAAGCCCTAGTGCATCTCAATAGGGCGACGCTAATATTTACTAACTCCAAACGCCCCATTTAAGAGTTTTTGAAAAATATATTATTAAAATTTTTCTTTTAATTAATTTCTTTTTTATCTAAGAATTACATTAAAACCTCGAGCAAAAGCCTTTCTTCAATTTATTTAATGTCGAATGTTTTTTAACAAATGCATTGTATTTTAATCCCGTTTTCTCCCAAGGATTATTGAATCACCAGCAAAAAAAATGAACGCTGAATTAAAATTTACTCATAACACATTAAGGATTTTTATAGCAAATGTTTTCCATTAATCTCCATTTAAAGAAATGAAAGAAGAAAGTTAAAATGCCAAAAATAACATGAAACTAAGTTGTAACTGCACAAAGGGAGATTTTGTCTAACTCGATTAAAAATTCATTTGATGATATTTTAAAAAAATGTTTTCAATCCATTATAGAATTACATATAACCATATTTGATACGCATACTGAACTTATTTGTATATTTGTACAAATAAATTTGTAAGAGCATTAAATATGAATAAAAACACGAATCCTGATTTTATTTAATCAGTTTAAAGTTAAGCTCGGAAATAAAAGATCGTAGATATTTTTCAGAGTATATACATTTTGTAACAATAACATAAGACATGGTTATATCCTTAAGTTAGCTATGATGAATACACAAACAGGTCCTATATGTAGTAAAAGATGAATGGCTACGTTAGAAAGATCAAAGCACTGAGAATGATGCGTTTCGCTCTTGATCTCTATAATGGTACAAAAGATCCATTCGACCGTCATGATTTCGGGCTTTACTTCAAAGGAGCCTATTACTCATCCTACTGTTGTAAACAGATATGGAAAACGAATCCATTGACAATATTTAAAGTTTACCATAACATATATTAAAGTGATTCATAGGTCCCATGATAGTATTTATTCGTATTCTTAACGTATTAGAATTAGTTTGCTGTATGTGTCTGCGTGTGAGGGAGCGTGTAACTTTTTGCTCAATCATTCTCATTTTTCAGTTTTTCAAGCATTTATTGTTCACACCGCTCTTTCTCTCGTAAGTAACATTGTTTATTTAAATAAAAACACAAGTAATATAAAAAAAATTTAAGTCAATTCCTACTTAGGTCAACAAAGAAAAATTTTATTTTAGTTACTTGTTATTAAATAGTTACAATTAATATAAATATGTATATACATATGACAGAATCACAATATTAAGTGGAAAAATAGAAAGCGATTTTCCTTGCAATTTTCCATTTTCCTTTCCATATATGGTGTTGGACTATTATTTTTGTTTGTTGCTATTTATTCATTCATAAATCATATTCTCAGAAATTAGGCCACATGCCAGGTAGGATCAGTAGTCCAACGCGTTATCCATTGTGCTACAGGGACACAACGAGTGATTTTCCTTTTTATATATGGTGTTGGGCTATTTTTGTTTCCTTGTTACTATTTATTCATTAATTAAGTTTAACTAATGAATTCATACTTAAAAAACTGTATTAACATCAAGTGTCATTCACTACAAGTTTTAAAAAATGTATTTGAACTTGAGTGAATGAATAAAAAGTATTTTATTAACGATTGAAAATTTGAACAAGATATATATATATATAGGGAGAGTGTGAATTAATAATAGGAATAGAAAAAACATAGACGAGTCTATGAAAGATAAGTAAAAGTACACATTAATGACAATGTGTTTTTGAAGATTATATTTCATTTAGAAGCCAACAAGTCTCTCATAATTTTCAATTTTTCTTAAAAAATTTGTTTAAACATTTTGCTAGCTATTTATATTTATTTCAGCACCAAAAGATAGAAATACATACAAGCAAACAGTTTACGAAAAAAATATTCTACTATTAATCCTCGATTGAAAAAATAATAGATAAAACAAGTAGTTTTAGAAATTCTATTTTGGAACTGTAAGTCATTAGAAATCTGTAAGACATTTTAATTCCATATTTGAGCAACACACGGCAGTATTCAAAGAAAAACAACTACCCCCGGAAAAAGTGATCGAGCTGGCAACTTCTCGAAGAAAGAAAAAAGTTACGTCTATTGTAAACGTATTTTTAGTACTAAATAAAAAAATAAATAATAATAATAAAACCACTTTCCTTGTATAGCATAATTAGACATGGACCGAATCAATTTTTCGAATCAGTGGAAAAGAGGGTATTGACTACGTATAAATATATATGTTCCTCAGACTTCTAGATCATAAGAAAACGGAAACGTTTTTCAAGTGGATTAAAAGAAATTAAGATTTTAAGGATATATACTTACAAATATAACAGAACATTATTTTTGATTCACCTACTTGTCAGTACTCAAATATGAATCGGAGATACTATACCTGATATTATTATTCTAACTTTTGTTGAGATTAAGATGTTCTGTTTATGCTTGTTCCAGTATTGTAAAATAAATTGTTAAAAAAATCTTTTCTTAAACCCATTCACTTGACAATAAGCTTTGATAATAATATACTTATACAAATAGTAATTTCATAGTAATCTCTTTGTTCAGACCCTCCTATAAATATTTTCTAGTTCACGCTCTCTCTATACATTATATATATATATATATATATATATATATATATATATATATATATATATATATATATATATATATATCTTGTTCAAATTTTCAATCATTCATAAAATAGTTTCTATTCATCCACTAAAGTTCAAATATATATTTTTATACTTGCAGTGGATGACACTTGATGTTAATACAGTTTTTCAAATATTAATTCATTAATTAAGTTTAATTAATGAATAAATAGTAACAAACAAAAATAATAGCCCAACACCATATGTAAAAAGGAAAATTGCTCGTTGTATCCCTGTAGCGCAATGGATAGCGCGTTGGACTTCTAATTCAAAGGTTGAGGGTACGAATCCCACATGGGATGGCTTAAATTGTGAGAATATGATTTATTTTCACAATACTATTTAATTGGAAGAATTAAATTTAATGAATGAATAAATAGAGTAACAAACAAAAATAATAGCTCAACATCTTATATAGAAAGGAAAATCGCTTTCTATTTTGCCACTTAATATTGTGATTCTGTCATATTTATATACATATTTATATTAATTGCAATTATTTAATAAAGTAGCTAAAATAAAATTTTTCTTTGTTGACCTAAGTAGGAATTGACTTAATTTTTTTTATTACTTATATTTTTTTTTCCTGCACTTGCACTAAGTTAAGATATTTTTTTAAGTGCTTATACCAATAATCAAAAGAACAAGAGTATTTACTTGCAATAAAATAAAGAAAACATAGAATGAAATGATTAAGATGTTTTAAAAGCATATAATTAAAAAAATTAATCGCTGAATAAAATGTAATAAACCAAATATTCTCATTAAAAAGTATGAGGAAAATATTTTAACGCTGCCTGTCGAAAGTAAATTCTAGGTGCATTAATTTTTTTTAAAAATTATTAATAAGAAATTACAAAAAAAGTGAAAAATTAATATTCATATAATCTTAGCTCATTCAGATTTAAATATTGTTGCGTTTTCGGGGGCTCGAAATGATTGAAGCCGAAGAGCGGAATCCAAAACAATTTTATTCTTGGCCAAAACAGTCCTCCACAAATTGTAGAACAGTTCGAGAAAGTCACGTACAATCGATGAAAATACTGATAACACAGATGTAATACACTAACAAAAGCAATAGTAAACACTCAGCACAAAAATAATAACTCAATAAAAGCAATAACACACGCACTATGCAATCGTCTCTCTCTCTCTCTCTCTAGCAGAGAGGTATCACTTGCATGAAAGCTGAGATCTGACTAACTGACTAGCCGGCCCGGGCCTTTTTATACCTTTCGGTCAGAAACCTCTTGCACTTGCCAGAATAATCGAGAAATAGAAAGGTCTAGCAAAATCCGGAACGTACGAGAAAAGCTCAATACAGTAATACATTCAATACAATAGTGTTACAATACCGCGATAGGGTTGCCAGACAGGGTTATTAGGAGCAGGGTTGCCATGGTCGCCAAGCTTATCGCCCACATTTGGCGCCCAAAATTAAGTCGCCAAATCCGTCGCCAACTTGGCGCTAGCTGCAATATTTGGCGAGTTTACCATTTAAACCAATGTTAAAGCATGGGGGCCGTGCAATGCAGTGGAAATGATATTACAGGTAAACAGGGTTGAAATCACATTAGATACGACAAATTTAACTGTAAAAATGAACACAAATGAGTAGAAACAATTAGAATAAGACTAAATTCGTAACAATATTAAGAGGAATTAACCAATTTATGAATTGTTACCTTTTATAGGACTCAGCTGATGGCCTAGATTAATTTTAAAGAAGTAACAATTATATTACATTAAAGTGTATTATGGACAAAAATTACAAAAAAAAAATTCAAGTCAAACATATTATATTAAAGGGGAGGGGGAGAGGAATGTAAGATTCAAAATTCACGCCATTAATCTTATCAGAAAGAAAAATTACGCTGCTAACTATGGTGGGCGTAGCCAATCTAGATAAGTATTATGTAAATCGAGCAAGGGTAAATATCTCTCTCTCCCCTAATTTCCTCTAATGTAAGCAGTTGTTTTTAATTAGCAGAACGCTAATTTTATTTCTTGTAATCATATTATAGAAACTTACTAATCAAATGCCCGCAGAATTCTTATGATTTAGTGAAAGTCCTTTCTTAATTCCTATTATTAGTTCACTCTCTCTCTCTATACATATATACTCATTGTATATATATATATATATATATATCGGTCAAATTTTCAATCGTTACTTTCAATTCATCCATTCAAGTTGAAATACATTTTTTTAAACTTGTAGTGGATGACACTTGATGTTAATACAGCTTTTTCAAATATTAATTCATTAATTAAGTTTAAAAATAAATAAATAGTAACAAACAAAAATAATAGTCCAACAACATATATAGAAGGGAAAATCGTTCGTGGTGTCCCTGTAGCGCAATGGCTAGCTCCCCTATCACTCACCCTATATATATATAAATATATATCTTTATATATAAAAATCTTCTGTGCGTGTGTTTGTCACTAAACTCCTCCGAAACGACTGGATCGATTTCGATGAAATTTTTTGTGTGGGTTCAAGTAAATTCGAGAATGGTTTAGATTCACAATGCGGTCCGATATCGCAATTAGTTAAAAAGATATTAATTAAAAACATTCAAAAAATACAACTCAACATTCCCCTGCATTGTTGTAACAATGCTATTGTTATAAACAAGTAATATAAAAAAATTTTAAATCAATTCCTACTTAGATCAACCAAGAAAAAATTTATTTTAGCTACTTTTTATTAAATAGTTGCAATTAATATAAATATATATATATACATATGACAGAATCACAACATTAAGTGGTATTTAATTTTTATTAATTATCATTAAAGTATCGTTTTGTCATCCAAAACAATCGTGTATATAAAATTTCCTTTTAACTGAATGCTTTAACACGTGAGAAAAAAACCTTTTCAAATTTTCACATAAGTCGCCAAAAGGGTCGCTAAGTCGCCAACGTGGCTGTATTTGTAATTTGTTAAATAATTAGTTTAAATCAAAATTAATTTTTATTAATTATAATTAAATTATTGTATTGTCATCCAAAATAATCATGTATATTACATTTCAGCTCAATTGCGCGCTTTAAAATGTATTTTATTACCGACTGAAAATTCCACAAAGATAAATAAATAAAAAAAATAATAAAATAAAATATGTATAGAGATCGTGAGCTAATAGTAGGAATTGTAAAAGACATAAGTTGGCGTCGAAAATTGATTTTCAGCCAAACTGGCCAAACCCGGTCTTTATTGTTACGAAAATGCAAGCGATTCACGCTTTTTAGCGTTTTTAATTAATATCTTTTCAAATAATCTTTATATATGTAATTCTTCTGTGCGTGTGTATGTAACTAAACACCTAAACGGCTGGACCGATTTTGATTAAAGTTTTTGTGTGTTCCAGTGGACTCGAGAATGGTTTAGATTTATAATTCGGTTTAGAAATGTTTATTTAATTAATTTTTTTATTTATAAATTGTTGATCTTGGAATGTTTTACATTGGATCCGGCAGACTGCGCTACGATCGCAGTATAGAATATTCAAAAATCTTTTATTATAATTCAAGTTGGCCCCGACAGTTGGTGCTGTGATTATTTCAGGAAAATATTTTGTCACTTCGTGTTATTATTTTGTTGAAATAAATCGTCTGTTAATTAAATTATTACATTAAGATGTAATTAGTGTTTGAAGAGTTTTGAAGTGTGCATAAAAAATATACGTTCTCCAAATTTAGTATACAATTGAAGTGAGTATTTTACATGATTTTCTATTAAATTTACTCGTGCGTTGACAACAATTATCTTTACCTTCAAATCTATTTGTGTAGCTAATTGATTACACACATTGTTAAACTTTTTTTTAAATTATTTCTTATCGGAAATAGTTTTTGTGTGTGTTTCACTTCTAAGCAACTCAGAAGCATAAAACTTGGCACATAATTACATTGTAATAACTTTTTAATACAAATTTTACTTAAAACGGTCCAGATTGTTAAAGCTTATTCATAAAAATTTGAAATTTTTGAATTTATAAGATGTGTGTACAGAACAACGTCTGTCGGGTCCTCTATTCTTGTTTAAATTTTAAATCGTTAATAAAATACGTTTTATTCATCCATTCAAGTTCAAATACAGCTTTTTCAAATGTTGATCCATTAATTTTTAACTAATGAATAAATAGTAAAAAACAAAATAACAGCCTAACACCATATAAAAAAAAGGAAAATCGCTCGTTGTGTTCCTGTATCGCAATGGATGGCGCGTTGGACTTCTAATCCAAATGTCATGGGTTCGAAAAGCGAACCTAAGAAATATTGTTCAATCAGGGAACTGACGATGATCATTGTAAGATGCATCTCACAACAAAGTGTTCAGAAAGAGGAAACAGGAATAAATTAATGAAATCTAAAGGGTGAGTGATTGTTTATTAATGTCGCACTTAAGTAAACTTGAGGAGTGCTGGTGTCACATGAGAAATTCTTTTGTTTCTTAGTTAAATACACTTGTAACAATTTGCGACCATTGTAACAATTTGCTATCCGTGAGGTCTATCCTCTTTTATTCGAGTTTTCCACCTGTCCAACAAAATTTAGACTTTTATGTAGAATATCTCAATACAAGTGAACGTCACTACCGAATAGTATACAAATTCAGGGCCTCTTTTCTGCTCAGGCACGCTAGGCACGTGCATAAGGCGCACAAAAATTAGGGCGAAAAAAGAGTAAAAATTTAAATTACAGCGAACGTACCACACACACACCGCCTAGCGAGTCTTGAAAGAAGCATTTCTGCCCTTAAGAGAGTAAATACTGAAATATTATCTACTATGGAAAAAAATAGCTTAACAGTTTGATGTTGCTATGCGCTCAAAATAATATTACAATGGAAATTGATTACAATAATGTCATTAATGATTTTGCAGTGAGCAAAGCTCGAAAAAATACCTTTATTGTACAAGTACAATGACGTGACTCAACAAAGCATAAGTATGTCTAAAAGTAAAATATAGTAAAGTGATAAGCAATGAAAAAAAATGATAATGAAGAAATTGAAAACATTTCATACAATAATATGTGTTCTATACTCTAACTGTAAACGATTTCACTAATTTACTATACTAATTTACAAAGTAGTGGGTGGGTGATCCGTGACGCTCTAAAGTAAAAAATTATCAAGATTGACCAAACCATGACACTATCCTTTCCTTACGGCTGCCAGTTGCCACTCCAGGACACAACGGGTCCATAGGTGGTGCATAATGGAAAGATTCTCTAAACAACAAAAAGGGGTTTAAGAGTAGGAGAGTTTTGAAAATCAATCCCAAAC